AGTAGAATGTTGGAGTGGAGGGAGAAGTTTGAGAAGAAGATGCCAGGAACCTCCAACCTAGGGATCCAGATGGATTTGGACCCTGGATCCAATAAGGAGAAAGAAGTAGATGAGAGTGCTTAGGGAGATGCCCAGAGGAACTGAGGGACATCTACCACGCTGAACCTTGAACCCCAGGATGAGAAGGACTACATCTTCAAGGAGGACCCCTGCACAGGGGTTCTGATGCTGGTTAGGGTGCCAAAAGGGGAGGGAGAATACCATCAGAATCCTTGCCCTCCCTCTTGCCCTTACTATTAGAGTAGAGGCAGGCAAGAGTAGCACTGCCTAAGGAGATTGATTCTGGAGAACCAAGATCAGACTAGCTCCTACATTGGAGGAAGAAATGCCTGAAAGAGTGACAGAGTCATCTCCAGGTGGATCGGGGCAAAGTATCATCTCTGATGTGAGTAGAGCCCTGGACTAGATGGCAGCATGAGCCTTGCTCTCGTTATGGGATTACCATCTTTCACTTCTGTAGGCTTTGAGGTTCGGGCTAAAGTGGTGTACCCCATCAATAGAAATGGACTCTCACCCCCCCCCCAGTGACATTAACCTGGGGTGGAGAGAAACCGGAAACTGAGTCAGACTAGTCTGTCAACTAGTCCTGATGCAAGCTGAGACATGAACATTATTTGTTTGTACCTATTCTTCCAGTTGGAATAAACCGTATGTTTGTTAGGAGCATTTAACAGAATCAGAAAATAGAGGAGAGACCACCTGCCAACCAGGTTCATGGGCCTCACACTCTGTCAGTGGCACACTCTGCCAGCACAACAGGAAGAGAAAGCCTACTTTTACTAAGAACATTAGTATGTTTGAAAACATTCTGTTGTTCTATGTGTCATTTACTGTTGTGTTATGTAATTATGGAAGAGTGATTTCATGTTTGGTCTCACACTCCATGCAAGATAGGCCACACAACAGGACATCTGTCACAGTGGGGGGAAATGCCTAGGGTGGCCCTTATGTTTTGAAGAGAGTACTAACCTGTAAGATTTAAGGATGTAAAACCTGCACTTGTGATGTTGTGAATAAATGAAAAGAAATAGCAACGTCATCAGTATGTCCTATCAAATCACCTCTGATTTATGGCAACCCTATGAATGAGCAATCTCCAAAATATCCTGAACTCAATGGCTCTTCTCAGATTAACTCCTGAGAATACATGGTGATACATCTAAAAACATTTTTTCCAGGATTTCTTTTCCTTTTAATATTTTTAATATTCTCAGATTGTGGGTAAATGAATCAGCAGATACTGATCCAAGGATAAGGGGGTCCTACTGTGCTCTCTTTTAACCTCTGGAATGCCTTACCTGAACAGAACAACTCTTACTCTGATATTTCAGTCTGGAAAGGAGATACATATAAGTGTTTAATTCTTTACTGGTCTCCTTCAGAACAGAAGCTTAGGGGTCAAGCTGGTGTCCATATCTGAAACAGAAGACTGGATCTCAAATAGGCACCAACATTTGTTTCAGTGTCTTACTCTTCAAAACAGTTACTGAATTAGAATGCATTTTGCATCCTTTCAGACGCAAATATGTGCCTTGGAAACAGTTACGGAGCTTGATATGGTATTAAAACATCAAACAGAGAATTATGCCATAAGTATGCATATGGAATTTCTGTATGTTCTCTCAAGGCACAAGAAGGAGGGCACTGCACTTGCAATTTTCCGTACCCGTCGTAAAAACATGCGGGAGTGAGCCAGTGTCTGCATTTTGTTTTCTAGTTTAAAGAAGCCTTTTGTGATAACAGCTACAGAATTTCTACACATGAAAACATAGGAAGCTATCTTATACTGAGCCAAAGAGCACTGAGGCAGCTAGCCCAATGCTCCCAACTCAGATTGACAGAAACTGTCCAGGGGTTTCAGGCACAATGGTTTCTAAGTCACACCCGGAGATCCCTGTCAGTCCTACTCAAATACTGATCAGGTCCAAACGTGCTTAGCTGCCAGAATCAGAAGAGCTTAGATGTGTGCATTGCTGTTTGGCATGTTCATAGGCTAGTAGATTGGCCACATGCTTCTGTATTGTAGTGCCCCAGTGCACATTTCACTGAATGTTTGTAAGGGGTTAATGATGACCTTATAAAAAACTGCTGGATGGATAGCTCTGTGGTTTAGGTAGATGTCTGTGGAGCCAAAGGTTGCAAGTTCAGTTTCCCATTGTGTCTCCTTGATGAGCTGGACTCAGTGATCCATACGGTCCCTTCCAGCTCTGCAGTTCTAAGATGATGATAATGATGATTAAAGATGAGATAACTTCCAAGCATTCTAATAAAATTCCCCACAGACACAGCTCTTTGAAAGCCAGAAGGGGCTGGTTGCTGCTGAATTCCTTGCAATTAAGGCAATGACAAGACTGACCTTTTATTACATACAGACAATATGTGCACACTGTCTTTACACAGAATCATGTTCCAAGAATCCTCTGCATAGCTGGGTCACCAGGACCGCTATTTACAAGTATGGTTCAGTGCTTGATGGTGTTTTAATTCTTTTGTAGTTTGAAATATTTTGCAAATGTCCTGTAATAAGATATATGAGCACTGTGTCTATACATACTCCTACTTTCTTCCAACATTGTTTAATAAATGAACTTTAAAATAACCACTCACCCACTCCTCTTCTGCTGACAGATTCCTGTTTCTGAACCTAATTTTTGCTCTTAAAAAAAGTAGCCGCTGGAGCTTGCTTCTCCTCTGTAGATCTGCCCTTAAGAATCTGCAAGCTAATTATCTCAAATGCATTATGTATGATTCTTTGAGCTAGTTTACACATTTGAGTGGCAGAAAGGCATTGGTATGAATTGGGTGGGAATGGGGGAAAGAGACATGAAATAACTTCAATGTTGGCAATTATAATATCAGAAAATTGTAACCGTTCCATAAAAATTATAGCCGCTGTTGCCATGTACCTCTCTGGTACCACCACTGCACATACATTTTGCGTTATATTTTTCTGAATTTACTGTACTATATTTTATGTCATACATGAACAGAAACTTTGTAAGTATGATCTGACTCATTCCTGAGCAGTCATTTTTCTTCTGAGGTAGAAACATATTTGTTCCACATTTGATGCAATAAAAATCTGTGTCGTCCACTTTTTAAAGCAAATGTAACTTACTTGAACTCCTCTTGATCAACATGCAGCTGTACTTCTGTATTTACACTTTTCTGAACTTTGTGAGGTAATTTTCATCTCCAGAATGCAAGGGCAGGAGCACAGCTAAACTGTCACTGCTTTTCTTCCCTTCCCCCGCCCTTTTCCGCCCCAAACAACTTCACTGCTTTTCCTCTCAGCACTTCACCTCCTTCACCTTCATCTTTGGCTCTGCAGTTATTGTTCCCTCCATCTCATTTGCCCGGAGGGATCCACGCAGAGCAGGACCAAAGCAAACTACTCTCTGGAGAGCCACCTATTTTCTCTCAGAGGACTGTCCAAGGAAATCACCTGTGATAGCTGTCCAAAATGTGGAAGCTTGAGAGCGAGATTGGGGCAGCACATTCATCTCTTTTAGTAGTTTGCTGCTTGATCTGGCAGTCTCACTCTGCCCCAGGAAAGAAATGTACAAGCTGTATATATGAGGTCAGGTGTACCCAAAAGCACATGTATCAATGAACCACAATCTTTAAAACCAAATAATATTCTGGAAATTACTTTCAGTGGTGTGCATATTTTTTTAAAAAATATGCAAAATGCATATAACACAAGAAAGATATACCACAGTGCCTCCCCCCCCCCGTGACTGATAGAAGCAAGGTAAGGAGCAATGGCATAGTACCATTCATAGATAAAGTCACTCCTACTGCTTTTCAGAAATGATGGATTGTACACAGCCTATGAGTTAGGCAATTTGTTTCTTTTCCCCCCCATTGTATCTGGATCAGATACAATGTCTCCCCACCCCTACCCCAACACCTCAATTGCTTTTCTTCTCAGCACTTCACCTCTGATGCATTTGAAATATGGTGCTGGAGGAGAGCTCTGATGATATCCTGGAAAGATAAACAAATGGGTCCTAGCTCAAATGAAGCCTAAATTGTCCCTGGAGGAAAACATGCTGAAACTGAGGTTGACCTACTTTGGGCATATCACGAGAAAGCAAGATTCTCAGGAAAGGACAATAATGCTGGGAAAATTTGAAGGCAGCAGGAAAAGAATGAGACCAAATATGAGGTGGACTGACTTCTTGAGCAGGGCAGTTGAGGTCAGGATATTTTAGAGATCACTCTCGTTCATTTGGTCACCGTAAGTCAGAGGTGACTTGAAGGCATCTAACAGCAACAAGATCTAGGTTGGAATTAACTATATCGGGAAAGGGTGCTCATGAGAACTGGGAGATAGTTCTTCTTTAGCAAGTGCAAGAGAGGGAAACATTATAAACTGAGCCCAAATACTAAACACAGTTGCCAAGGCAGAGTGCCAGTTCATATTATGCTTTTTTTCCATCGTATTGTACTGAACATCCTTTTACACTTTTGAGAGTGCAGCAGAGGACTGAATGAGCAGCCTTTTGAAATCTGTCACAAATCTTATTGATTGCAGTTGCACTTGTCTTCATTTAAACCTAACATCTGTGACCTTTCATACATTTTTTTCCCTTAGACTGTCAAATGATTCAAATACTCAAGGAGCAATTTCAAAATCCATCAACACACCCTATTTCAAATAAACAAAACAGAATAGGACAAAACAAAATTAAACCCCAAAAGAAACTAGAATATATTTGTATAAAGAGACTGAAACCCCTATTACTGCTCTCCTGAAAACCCCATTAGTGCTGGTAGTGGAGGAGAAATGTTTCATTTATACAGCTGGACAAAAAAGTGGTCTAGAAAATACATTTCTTGTACAGTATATTTATTAAGAACAACTTTCTCTTTCTTCTTCTTCTCTCTCTCTCTCTCTCTCTCTCTCCCTCCTTGCTCCCACTTCCTCTTTTTAGATAGAAAGCCTCTTCATGAAGTAAATCCCCAAAGTAAGTTTTTCTTTCTTTCTTGTATATGTATTTTTAATAACATTTTCTGGGGGGAAATATATTCTCTAGACTTTATCTAAAAGAAGCAGGTTAGATGTAAGGCAGATTGTCTGATGAGAAGCAAAGGTGTGTTCTCAGATATCTGTTCCATACATTCAGCAAATAGGCATAAAGGTGAGTAGCACTGAACTTGCTAGCCCCACCTCTAAGGACCCCTAACCTTTCTGTTTGTTGGGGCAAAGTCTAAAGAGAACATATCCACCCCATCCACAGCCAGATCAAGCCTGTGATCTTATTCATGTTGATAGTAGGGATGGAAACATCACTTTGTCCATTTTTAAAATATATTTTTAGTTCTTTCCTCCTAACTATGTGATTTCTGAATCGTTGCATTTTTTTCAAAAACAGACTGAAACAAAATATGCAGTGACTGAAGACAATAGGAAACGTTAAAGAAACTGATGCCTGAATATGTCCATAAGAGACCTACACATATTTATAGACTTCTGTGGAAAAATCAGAAGCCTGTATTCATCACAGTTGGCATTTTATCCCAATTAGGGGTTAATTCCAGAATGAAACCAAACAATTATTTATGATCATATAAAACTTCATCTGAGTACCAAGGTGTAAGTCTTTCCATTGTTGCAATGATTCCAGCCAACATCAGCTTGTCTAATTCTACAAGGTTTATTTCTCTACATTGCTTTTATAAACTTCATACTTCAGAGCCGTTTTCAAAATACAAAAGTCTTACAGCTATGGAAAAACTGTAGGCACAAATTTTATTTATTTATTTATTTATTTGATTTATACCATGCCCATCTGGTCTTCCGACCACTCTGGGCAGCTTCCAACATATATATATAAGTTTAAAACATAAACACATAAAAATAACATAAATTAACAATTAATAAATTATTTAAGATGGCAAAAAGTAGGAAAGGAAAGGAAACACACAAAGTGGTGTGATGGGGCGGGGGCCAAGGCAAGCCCTTAAGGGGGAAGGCCTGCACGAACATCCAAGTTTTTAACTGATTTTTAAAGGTACCCAGCGAGGGGGCCGCGCGAATCTTCAGATGGAAATTATTCCAAAGGCGAGGAGCCACCGCCGAGAAGGCCCGATTTCTAGTTCTTTCCTTGCGGGCCTCTCTCGGCGTCAGGCTCCTCAGCCTCACCTCCTGACTCGCGTGGGTGATACGGGTAGACCTTGGTGGGAGAAGGCATTCCGCCAGATATCGAGGTCCTAAACCGTTTAGGGCTTTATAAGTCAGCATTAACACTTTGAAGTCGATGCGGAACCAAATGGGCAGCCAATGCAGCGAAGCCAGAATAGGAGAAATGTGTTGGTATTTTCTTGCTCCGCTTAGGAGCCTGGCCGCCGCATTCTGCACCACTTGGAGTTTCCGCATCAGCCTCAAAGGCAGCCCCACATAGAGCGTGTTACAGTGATCTAATCTTGAGATTACGAGTGCCTGCACCAAGGTAGTGAGCGCCACCCCATCAAGGTAGGGCCGCAGCTGGGCAATCCGCCAAAGATGGAAAAAGGCGGTACGGACCACCGACGCCACTTGTGATTCCATCGTGAGCGTCGGGTCCAAATGGACCCCCAGACTGTGGACCCCACTCTTTGCAGCCAGGGCCACCCCCCAAAAATGAGAGAGAGTTACCCAGACCACCTAAGGTGGGAGCGCCCACCCTCAGAACCTCTGTCTTGTCCGGGTTCAGTCTGAGCCCATTCTCCTGCATTCATTGCAGTACAGTCCCCAGGCAGTGCTGTAGGGACAGCGCTGTAGGGACAAATAGTTTAAAATATGTGAAAACTAAACTTAAGTTGTAGGCAAATACGTAAATCAGATTTTAATCCAAAATGCAGTAAAATATATTTTAAGTGTAAAAAAAAGAGAAAGTTTCAATTACGTTCTAGAAATGCAAAGACTTATAGCTTAATAAGGCATATTTAAACATCAAGAAAATACTTCTGCAAAACTCCAAGGTTCTTAAAAGTGAGAATACAGCCTCGTGACACAGTTGTTAAACTGCAGTACAACAGTGAAGATTGATCATGACCTGAGTTTGAACTTGGGCTTGAGATTGACTCAACCTTCCATCCCTCCAAGGTCTGTAAATTGAGTACCCAGCTTGCTGGGGGCAGGGGTGGTGATGGAAGGAAAATGTAGCCTGCACAATTTTAAATAATTGTTGACTTCCCAGAGATTGATATAAGCACTATGGGGTGGTAAATAAGCAGCACACTTTGCTTGGAATATATAAACAAAAATAATTTTGCTAGCCTCTAAGCATATTAAAATCACACATAAAATTATTCCAGTTGCTCAGCCAGCCAAATCAGTATTAATCTATGGAGGAAAATCCATGTTGATTATTGTGCTGCTACACTACAACATGATTGTGGTTGTTTTAGGAGAGATAGCCATGTTAATCTGTGCAGAACCAAAAATAAGACAAACAAACACACGTTATAGCACCTTAAAAACTTAAGTTCTGTGGACCTTCACCCAGTTCTTCAGATGTATGAGATGGAAAACAGAGATCACAAAGTAAAATATTAATGTGAGGTTCTAAGAGACAGTGGTATATGGTTAAATTTCACACTTGCAATGATTTATGACCTCTATGTGGTGGTCACATCTTTTGAAGTCTGGTTCTCTAAACATTCCGACAAAAAACACAAAACAAAGCAAAGGCAAAAAGAAATAGAGAGGGTGGTTGTGGCACTTTAAAGACCGACTATAAGCAGTGACATGATTAAAGGAGACAACAGAGGAACAATGTACATTAATATCTAGTATGTCAGACTTTATCTTTGAGCCTTATTCTGAAAGATGGGTCTGGTAGTTGTAAAGGAAAATAACAATAGATAACAGCATAATTATTACATTTGGTAATGACTTAACTTGACTGATATTCAGTCCATTTATATGGATGTCCGTCGTGTGTATAAATTATTTCTCAGCCGTTTCCCCTCTGTGTTCTCATTCTGTAGTGTTTCATTTCCAGAATAGTAACTTTCATATCTTGTGAAGAATGTCCTGGTAGATTAAAGTGATTTGAGACAGGTTTCCGTGTATTGCAATTTCTAATGTCTGATTTATAACCATTAATTCTTTTGAGCAGAGATTATTTGTCCTATGTAGAGCACAGAGAGACACTGTTGGCACAATATGTCATAGATCGCAATAGCTGAAGAAAAAGTAACAGTGCCCTTGATATTTTGCGCCATATAGTTAGGTCCTATAATTTTGTTGCCAGAATAAATGTGGGGGCAGAGTTGGCATCTCAGTTTGTAGCAAGGTTTAGTCCCCATGTGTGCATCAGTGTTGTGTGGTTTGTTGTGTGTTAGTAGTTGTTTGAGATTTGGAATGTTGTCCATAAGCAAGTCCTGCTGCCCAGGGCTTGGGAGAGTGAAATATTCTTGTCAAGAATGGGATGGAAATCACTTACGATGTTTGAGAGTGGTCTCAGTTGTTGGTATCCAGTGTGTGTGCATCATAGCTTGAACCCATGCTATGATGAGGTCTGGATTTAATATCTGGCAAGCTGCCATTATGCTGATAACATTATTGTTATGACTAAAATTTGCAGGGCTTACAGTAATAATACTTTGTACCATTGTGCATTTGATGTGCTAGGATACTGTCACAGGGCTTGGTGAAACACTAGACTATTGTGAACTCAAAATATTATAATCACTGAAAGGTAATCACTGAAAGGATGCAGGATAGGACATGTTTAAACATTGTAACATAAACCAGTTCATCATAACATAAACAGTTAAGTTCCCAGGAATGTTATTCTTCAGTGACCTTGCTGACTGGAGAGCTGGCTAATTATTTTTGAATGACCATACTAAACTATTACTTAAGCCTCAGTTTAAAAAAAAAAAACACTTTCATTTTCAGGGATTTTTTCTGTAGCCTTAATTTTATTAACACTCTATACACACAAAATATATCTAATATTCTTTATGTTTCTAATTTGTGTAAGTGTGAGTGGGTGTGAGGACAGGAGGGAGGTTGATGCTTAGGACCGACCGCAAGTCCACAGCTCTGTAAACAGGTGCATGAATTTAATCATTTCCCCAATAAGTCATTGATGGCAGGGTTATGGCTACCATCATGTAGGCCAGAAGTTCCCAATCTCGGGTCCCCAGATGTCCTTGTACTAAAACTCCTAAAGCCTTCACCACCATCTGTGCTTGCCAGGATTTCTGGGAGTTGTAGTCCAAGACATTTGGGGACCCAAGGTTGGGAACTACTGATCTAGGCTTCTTGTCATCTTTCCTGATCAAGACGTTGTTAAGCAAGGATTTCTTTGGAGCTGTGGCTGGTTACTATCTCATACAAAATGTGTTGAATTATTATACTAAGCCATCTTCCATTTTCAGGAAACTTCAGCGTATTTTATTATCTACCTGGATGTTTAGACAAGTTTCCACCTGTTAGATCACAACACATTTGATAGCCCAGTATCACCCCAAATTTTCTGACTGATCATCTTCAGGATTACAGTATTATGATTGTGTCCTTAAGGACTGTTAGCCAAACTGCCGAGATTGATTTTAGTATATTTAGTTTCTTGGGGAATTAAACTATATATTTGAAACCATGAGATTAGAGATGTGCTATATAAACACAGCTTGTTGCTTCCTACTGACTGGAGCAGACATTATGTTTAAGACCATATGCATCTTTACTGATGCAAAATCGAAGTCAATTATTAAGATAATTGCAGAACAACTGATTCTGGTAAAAGAACTTATAGTTCTCTGTTCTTTGGAATGGTATTTCTCATGCATTAAGAAAACAAGAGAAGAGCTTAGCCTCCAGGTATTAAAGGGATTTGGGTGTTGGAAGGAAAAAGGAAAAGAGCCAATGAATAGCAAAGTGGAGTTAATGTGGGCCCTGCACACCTTAAAAACATTCTTGTAAATGAGATAATCCAGTCTATTACAATTCCTAACACAGTACAGCAAGATG